GGAGCACTACACCAAAGACAAGGTACATGCTGAACTATAAACTCGTAACAGTTCTACCGCTTTGAATATGCAGAGGACACTGCCGCTTTTCGCACACGTCTCTTGGACTGGAAGAGAAACGACAGCACGTGCGTCATCGGAATCAGCTTGGCCCCTCCGCCCGGAGTTTATCAACTTCAGCGGATCGCGGTGTGTGCCCCCAAGCAGTTACGTAGGTCATTCCTTCCTTCGTCTCCCCTTTCCGCAGCCCACCCACACAAAAAAGAGAAAGCCAAAAAATGTTTCCAGCCACTTTCACGCAGCCCCGAAAAAAACTAGTATTTTGAGGAATATTGGCATAGTGCCTAACCATGTTTGCCAACCAAACATTTTTGTTTGCCCCTCTCACAAAAATTAAGCGAGAAACTTTTAGGCCCAAATTCACACTAGTAGAAAAATATCGGATATTTTGACAAAACTTTGCATATCGTTTACCCAACAAACATTTTCTTTTGCCCACCCACAAAAAAAATTGAGGCGGAAAAAATTTTCGGCAGAAAATCCAGGTATTTTGACACACGTTGCTATATTGTATATTGTTTTTCCCAAGCAAAATGTTAATTTGCCTATTCCAAAAAATAAATGTTTTGTTTACTCAGGCACAGAAATGGATTTACAATCCTGTGCGTGTATTCATTAGAGGCAAAACGTTGCACCTTCGAAGGATCCTCTTTTCGGGCAGTTTTATTCGGTTTACTTCAAACTATGGTACTATGAATGTTCGGTAAATTTGTGCACTTATTTGCTCATATACAATTTTCGTTTGCACAGGCACAGAAATGGTTTTTTAACGCTTATATAAATGGTCCGATGTTCATTGAAACCTCTGAAATTTTGAAAATTTCAAAAGTGTAATATTTCCCCCACACCAACTACATTATTGGAGGTCAATTATTTTTCTTAGGGAAATATGTTCTTCAAAATTAGATATTTAAATTACGACGAATTAAGAAGCGTAAAGAAATATTGTCCGACAGCGCGCCATGTAACTAATAAAAAAACACGCTTTTGATTGTAAATCCATTTCTGTGTCTGATCAAATAAAATCGTGCTTCTGGAGACGGACAAACAAAAATTTTAATTTGACAAACGTGAAAAATCGACGTGCAAACGAGTTTTGTCGAAACACCTGAATTTTTTCGGACAATTTTGGCCCGGACAATTGTTTGCTTTCATTTATTTTTTCGTGTGAGTGGGAAAACAAAAATTTTGGTTGGGCTAAGGAAATCCGTAATTTCGTCAAAATACTAGCATTTTTACGGCTAGCTTCGTTTCGGCTCGTAAAGTTTATCGCTTATCTGTTTGTGTTATTGAGCAAATAACGGCCAAACAATGACAGGTTTCGTCAAAACTCCCGGATTTTCCCCGTCAGAGTGAATTTGGCCCGAACATTTTTTCGCTTCTATCTTTGTTGTGCGGTTGGACAAACTAACATTTTGGTTAGGCAATCGATGCGTTAAGTTTCGTCGAAGTGCATGGATTTCTTTTCAGCAGGAAGTTGGCCCAAAAAGTTTTTTCACTTCTATATTTAGTGTGGATGGGCAAACGTGTGCGATCGATACACCAAATTTCGCCAAAACATCGTCACACTTTCGGTCGGTGTGATTTTGCATTTTTACTTTCTCTCTTTCATCGTTATTGTGGTTGAGCAAAGGATGTGCTAAAATTGGTCTAAATACTTCGGCTTTTTAGCCGAAGTGAAGTTGGCCTGATTTTTGATTTTATCTTTTTTGAGTGGTTGGGCAAACGAAATGTCAAGTTATGTTAAACTACTCGACTTCTTTCGGCCAATACATATAGGGATGCGACATCGATGTCGACGTTAACAAATATCGACGTTTGTATAAAAACTTCGATTGATTAAAACCTATGTTTTTGGCATCGAAATTTTGTTTGTAAATGAAAAAATCGTAATTACAATTTTGTGAAAGTTAAGGTGTATAATACCACTAGTGATTAATGATACCGTTACTAGTGCAGCTTGTGTTACCAGTGTGTTATGCTATCGTGACGTTCGTACACTAGTAACTGTAAATGAACCCTCAAATAAAAACCAAGTGAACTGTCCGGAGTTCTTGCTGTCCGCGTCCACCGCGACTAACAAGTATACATCTTTCTCGATACAAGTGAAGAAAGTTTCTCACTTTTCTTTTAAAATGTGATAGCGCTCTATCATGCTCAATTTACATCGAACGCGGTGACAGAAGCACATTCCCCGGGAAAAACGATAATTCATGTTCTAAGAACATCAGATGTCTCCGGTTTTCGTTCCATCAAACAAGCGAGGTTGTATAATTTGATTTCTGACAATTCTACTCTTTACATTTAAAGAAAATTCTACATGAAATCTCCTTTGACGTATTGCGTGTGGGTTAAGAGATCCAAAATCACTTCTTCTAGAATTATTGTAATTAATCCATTTCTTGTGAAAGTCGTTTCGTCTGTGAATAATATCTTACTGCAGATATCAGATCTTTGAAGAAGCCAAATACAACATTGCAAACTTCGAGTATGTATTGTGGTTTTAAGTGTTCAACATTACAAAATGTGTAAGGGTAATAACCATCGATGTGAAGAAGTTTGCATTCTAAACGCAATTCGAACCTATTAGAATTCCATACCGAACCGAATAGAAACTCTTCTTACATTGGCTGACGGATTTTCTTCGTATTCCCTCACAGGTTCACTTGCTTCTTCCGAATCTGAAGAAAGTCCGCGTCCGTTAGAGAGAATGAACCAGTGTCTCGCAACCTTCTGACGGTATTAATTTATCCGCTTTTATGAAGCACAATACGATTAGGAAGATATTTGTGATAGTACTACCGTTACAAACACCGTAATCGACTCCCAGTTTCAGCTTTTTTTCAAAATAAGCGTCATGGCGCGCTGGTATGTGTCGCCTTTGAATCGGCGGGCTAGTTCATTGAAGTTTCTCAGTCGGGCCTCTGCGAATTAATAATGCGAATGTGGCTAAAGGTGGAATTATTTACTATATGTTTACTCACAACAACTTGAAATAAGTTTTAAAGTTTCGTTTTCTCCTTGGACACTGTTTATATAATACAATTATTTAAATACTGTAATAGAAACCATAAGTGCCTCTTGTCCCTGTGGTTGACCACTGTCATATCTTGTGCTCTTAAAACAACTACCTAAAGTGGCGTCAGCTCCCTAGACCTGTCTGCCCCTCCAGCCTACTAGTCATTAGACTGTGGCGAACTCAGAGGAATCGTATAGTGGACTGTTTTACAGAGATTTACTTTCATTTCCGCAGCCATATTTCCTTTCTATGGTAGAAATAAAGGATCATGCAATGAAACTTAATAAATCAGAAACCACAATAAAAATTCAATTCGAAATTTCAAATTTCGCAATTAACAAATCGAAACTGGATGAAATAATTTCAATTTAAGAAAAAAACACGTCTTTGCAATCATTGCACATTGTGAAGCAGGATCTCAGTGATGACGATTTTGAGAAATGCAAATTTATCACTGACATCTCACTGAAGTGATGGATATTAACGCATGCATGAAGACAATACACGATTCCGGAAAGTATTACAGCTCCACAAAGCTAGACCATAGAACACATTTTGGGCGCCATATCTTAGTGAATTCACAACGATCATCATGGTCTTCACGAATTCACATCATGGCGACATCTCGCAGAGTGAGCAACCGTTGGAACAGCATTTCTTTTGCAAACGAAGGAGACGAGGGTTTGGCCGACTGCCGCTGTCGCTTGGCGCACGAGCCACGGCTCGGCGTAGCAACAGAACTTTCGGTAGTGGACAAGCTTTTAAAGGGAAAACAATGCCGCTCCGACAGTAAAGCAAAGAGTCTCCTTGAAGAAAGTTGGTGACCTCCACGGCCGTGAACCGTTTCTGAACATTAGCGCCAAAACTGTACACATGATTTTTTTCCAAACTGACAATTCTGTTTGATTTAGTACAATTTTTTTTGTTCGAATGGCATCTTGTTTATTGTTTGAAAGGCATCTTTAAATTTCTATGGGTTAAATGCTTTATTTACCACTCATGCCGCATTAAAAAATATCAATAACTGTTCCTAATTTTTCTCTCTAAATTTGTTGTTCGAATACAGGGCAGGTTGCTTAAAATTTATGGTAAAGTCTCATTTAATTGAAACCTCCGAATTTTCGAAAATAGTTGCAGTTCAACTCGACCTGGTATGGGAGCAGGGTATGATTTTCTTGAGTTCTTGGACAACCTCCCCAAAACACCGACACCTATTCCAATTTTATATTAAGAATTAATATTTACTGATACTTGTTGTTTTGTTTCTTTAAAATATAAATATATTTTAAGTATAAAAATATAAATATATTTTATAGACTAAAAATAGTTATCAAATAAGACAAAAAATACAAGAAATTCTTCAGAAGCACTGAAAAAGTATCTCACTGCGCCGACCATTCCTCTTTATTATGACGTGCGCAATTAATACTTCTCCCCCATACATCATTATTACTTTTTTTACTTTTTTGACAAAATAAATCTTCAAAAGTATTATGTGACTGCTGGAAAACGAATGTACACGGGCTGCCAGGATTGGTTCTGTTGGGAAAGAGGACTAGACTTCTATATTCCCCTCTTGCTACCCGCATAGGATGGGAGAATGACTTTGACCTTTTACCATTTTTCGAGTCGGGCCCATTACAGGAACACACAACCCATTTTGGGGCGTTTCCTTAGGAATAGATATCCAACTATTAAGTAATTATCCTTGACGCGCATCCGCAATTATATTAACAACAACAGTTCATAATCGCATTTAATTGACTTATTGAGTGTTTTAGAAAGAAAATATTAAAATTTGCCTGGTTTTCTTGGGATTAGATTATGCGTCGGTGAGGCGCAGTCTGAAACTGTTATTATAATTAATATTTTGTTCAAGTAAATAAGTAAAAAAATCTAATAATAATTATTATGTCGCTAGATCAGCAAAGGCCATGTGAGTTGTGAAGAGGAGAAGGAGGAATCGGAAGGGCGTTGGCAGCCTGTGTTTGCAGCTGTTACAGAGCGTGAGCTTCACCTCTACGAATCGGCTCCCTGGAGCCGTGAAGCATGGGGCTGCCCTTCCCACTCGTGCCCATTACTGTCCACACGGTATGTGTACTTCACAATTTTCAACATTGGACATTAATTAATGTCATGGCTTTCTAGAGTGGTCCATTTCCTGGGATCCAATCGAAAAGACCTATATTAGAAACTTGTGGTGATACTACTGCCTACATTCTCGTATTATTACTTACTGTTGTACAGTATAATGATACTGTAGCCTGTATTCTGCCAATACTTGAGCCACCTCTTGAAACATTCTCCACCCAACAAATCAAGGGATGTTCGAAAAAACACGTTTTTAAAAATGTTTGGCTGTTCAAGAGTTTTCATGAAAATGGCGCTTGTACCATATAATTCATTGTGATGTGTTCCATCATTACGAAAACGTTAAAGAAAAGCATTCGAGTCATTTTCTTGAGATGTGAGGTCTACGTTGTTTGTGGGAATTTGTCTCCAGTTCAGTCGAAATGACGCGTAAAATGTTCATAAAGTTAAAGTTCTGAGTTTGAAGAACAGCGTTTATTAAGAAAAGATATTCCCCACGATTCACCACTAAAGATTTCCCATTTCTAATTAGATATAATACAAATCTGGTGTGAAGCAGTACCTGACACATGAACGGGATCCGCTTCCAATTCCATTAATCTCTATATTTTGATTCTGCTTAGGATTGTTATTTGTAGATTATTTCCCACTCCGTGTGACATTGAAGATCGTAAACCCAAATTTGCCGAGCAATGCATGTTTGCTAACTAGGGCCCTAGGAAGGCAACCGATAGCTTGGCTTCGGTACCTCCCAGTCCAAATGACGCAACTATGAAGCGTTGCCCGGAGACACCTAAGCTTCAATGATTAAGTAAGGGAATTGTAATCCACTAGCACTCCGCAATAGAAAATCGATATATACTAAAATCATTAAAGTAGTTGTGGGTGGTTGTGCAAAATGTTTAATTGTTTCAATTTTACGGAATTTAAGAAGTTTCAATTAAATATGAATTGGGCTGCTTTTAGCGCATACATTGCTCTATTCAAACCAAGAAATAAAGTAAAAATTAGATTTATAGAAAAATTGTCCGAATTTTTGGATTGGTTTGGGGTTCACCCATTTGGTGAAAATTATGTGTACGGTTTAGGCGCCAGTATTCTCAAACGGATGGATAGGTGTATTTTACATAAAACATCTGACAAGACATTGTTCGATATCAGCGACTCCCAATGACGATTACGGCGAAAATTTCAACACCAAATTTTTTCTTCACTATGACAAATCTTCCACCTACATGCATACTCTCTATATACCAGTAATAAAGTTAAAATTAAAATTTCATTGGAGATATACAAGTTACGTTAAGTTTATATATTTCTCGACTGTTTCCAGTCTAATTAATTCTAGTATTTTGTTACCAAATTATATAAAATATTAATGTAACCAATTTTTCCGGTATATCTGAAAAAGTATCAACCCGTAAGTATCTGCAACTAAAAAAGTTAACATCTAATCTTATTTTTATTACCTTGGCTTCACCACTAAGATTTCCCATTCCTAATTAGAGATAATACAAATCTGGTGTGAAGCAGTACCTGACACATGAACGGGATCCGCTTCCAATTCCTTTAATCTCTATTTTGTGATTCTGCTTAGGATTGTTATTTGTAGATTATTTCCCACTCCGTGTGACATTGAAGATCGTAAACCCAAATTTGCCGAGCAATGCAAGTTTGCTAACTAGGGCCCTAGGAAGGCAACCGATAGCTTGGCTTCGGTACCTCCCATCCCAAATGACGCAACTATGAAGCGTTGCCCGGAGACACCTAAGCTTCAATGATTAAGTAAGGGAATTGTAATCCACTAGCACTCCGCAATAGAAAATCGAGATATACTAAAATGCTTGCAGATTGAAGGCGTCGTAGATGTGTACAGGATCATAAAGAGGAAAGAAAGTTGGAAGCAAATTCCCACTTCCACTTTAACCCACACAATGAACCGCCTCCCCCGCCTCTCCCGGAATGCATCATTTGCGGAATTTTCAACCGTAAGGCGCGCAAGTAGTACGGAACCCTCTACGACTGTACGTGGTTAAATGACAATTACTTCGTTGTTAATTAGCTATTGACATGGACGAAGAAATCCATATAGAAATAGAAGTGGAGACGTGCTCTTTGGAACATAGCAATTAATGTATACAAATATAAGATTAAGCTTGGAAAAAAGTGTGTAGGTATTTCAATGTATATTTTGATAAGAGATTAATCTCAGAACACTTGCAGTTTGGAGAAGAACCCATACGATGACATCAAAATTGAAAAATAATAAAATTGGAATATACAAAAACTGTCTTGCAGCTTATTAAAGAAAGTGATGAAATTACTATGAGAGAGCATCTCGCTATTAATAGGATGCTCGCAATTTCTCCCAGAGATATTCCTTATACTTTTCAGCGCCACGTCTATAACAGCTGTTTCGGTAGCGTCCCTATTGAGTACAGAGTTAGCGCCCGACACGCGCGCTGGAGAACGCTCGTGTGCGTGGCATCGACGTGCGTCGGCGCCACTGATGTCACGAACCTGTGGCCCGTCGAGGAGGGTCGGTCCACGTCCTGACGGGGATGCAGGGAGGGCTCCCAAGCGTTCCTTCACCAGCCTCTTTCTTCTCCCTCATCCTCGCTCTCGTTTTTTGATAACATCGTGTCTCTTTGATTCTACCCCTTCTATTTCACTAGCCCCCTGTATGCGAACACCTACCCATGGGTTTGCCGTGCATGGCCACCCGTGTCGAAGGGAATGTGTATCGTGACGGTTGAGGGGCCTGCTTGTTTTCCAAATACTCTCCTTGTGAAACGATCTGTTTTGCAGCTAGGGATACGTTGTTTACGTATTTTGGAGAACATTCCTTGTAGGTTTCAACACGATTTGGGCTCTTCTGTCAACACGTCACCCCAGTGGGGTGTCCCCTTGTTGGACTCCGTGGTGGGTGGAAGTACGGGGTTGAATTTTCAACCATTATATGTATACCAAACAATCTCCCCGGCCTCTTCCGCCAGGAAGAGTCGATGTGCAGAACGAACTATTGACTTGAATAGTTTTTATTCTAAAGCCGAAGTTAAACTGAAGTCTCGTTTTCTGCTCATGGCATGCATCGAGGAAGAGAGAAAAAAAAGTGCTTTCCGTCTGTCGGGAGCCATAGAGAAAACATACGGGAAGCTCCAGGCGGTCGTGTGACAGAGGAATGGAATGATTCTTTTGAAGCACGTACGGATGAGCAAATAGAGAAATTGCTGTAAACCAAGCAGATTGCCAGCCTCCATGTGGTAGTGACGACGCATCCAACCTTGAACCCCTGCGAAGATGTTGGACCACGAGGTCTTTTCTTCGGAGAATGAGGAAGATCTTACATGCTTCGAAAGTCAGAGCGTGACTGAAGTGTATAGGATAAAAAGACGCAACAGTGGAAAGTGATCCCTACTTCCACTCTGACCCTTACGTTTGAACGTCCGTCAATCCCGGAAAGGATCTGTTGTGTTTTCTGCAACCTTCATATGTTCGAAACCCTTAGCGCTGGTTTGTCAAAGGTGTGGGCATACCCAGCAGAAATGTACATCGGGAAGCCCAACCTAAGGGCCGGCCCTCACGTTCGTAGCAGCCTTTTTGTCGTCAAGATACTTCGACGTCTTGCCTTGGTGACTGGCTATCCTCGGTCACTAGTTGGAAAACGGGGTCCCTCAGGTATCAATTCTGAGTATACCTGTGTTTGCCATTGCTATCAATAGTACAGTATCGATAATACAACACACAATTCGAATATAAGGATCAGCACAGGCGCCTGCCTCACGAATCGCATCGAATGCCTCTTGGCCTAGGCTGAAAAACCATCTGTGCGCCGAAGGCGAGATATTTTTTACCTCTTGTGGTGCGAAATTATCCTCTAATCTCTCACGTCAAGCAGTCCTTCGCCCAACGCGCCTGGCATTGTATACACTCAGACCATCGTTACCCCATTCTCTGGGAATCCATCTCCAAATGCTTTTGCAGAAGCTTAATGTAAAATTGTCCACCCCCTGAGAACCCCTACTAAACCTTTTCCCTTGGAAACGTCTCCCACCTATAAGGAACCTCATTTTCTAACCACCCTACATCCTCATCTTCTCCAGAACATTTCTAACGGAATTTCATGCAATGAAATGCAAGTGTATCCTGGCCATAAATTCATGTACACTGGTTCCTCCCAAATGGCAAAGTAGGGTGTGCCTTCTACTGCCATAGTGCAACGCGGAGTTTTCAAATATACTCTTCGTGCAGAGTTTATAATGCAGAAAAATATGCGCTTTTGGAGTCGCTGAAATTTGCTGAATCGACGACGTTAAAGGAAACGGTGTTCTGCAGCGATTCTAAGAGACGCACGAATCCATCTCTTCTTTCTCTTAAGGCCTTTTGACAATGAATACCCAATGTCAAATCCATCTTTTATTGGTCGGTATAACTTGCTTTTTTTGTTGGTCCTTGGCCACATGGGGATAATAGGAAACAAAATAGCTGGCCAAACAGCAAAGCTCGCCACGACGAAAACTGAGACGGGGTGCTTTCGTGGCTTTCCTTTCACCACTGAGCTTCCGGGTTCAATTTCCGTAGAACCTCATGTGAAATTTGTTACGTGGAAACGAGTTTGCCTGCTTTACAAGGGCTAGGGCGCCTGCGAGACGCGAGCGGGAAGACTCTACATGTCGACAATTCCCTGATGTGACTTAACAACACAGCGGCCCCTTAGTGCTTATTAACGAAGGATTACTCCAGTGCGTTCAACGCTCCTTAAGGAGCGAGGAGACACGATGCGTCTATGTAGACGCAACAAATATAACAAAAAAGACTGTCCCAACAAATGATACCAGTGCATGGCAAACAATGGCAGAACTCGAATTTTAAGCTCACGAGAATCAAGGGTTCCATAAAACCTTAGTCTTCCTAATGTGAAATTCATCTCATCATCTCGTGGTTCTAGACGCGAGAAGATTATTGTGACACTCTTTCGGATCGGGCTTCCATTTCCTTCCACGGATATCTTCTCCGTGTGGACCTCCCCCCCACTTGCAAAAACTGCCAAACAGATCTTATTGTGGATCATGTTCTCCTGTACTGTGGTAAGGTAGCTGCCAAAGGTATCACTTGGTAGATCTCCAACAAATATACTTGGAAATGACAAATCTTTTCTCTGCTAGTTTTTTTTTTAGCTTTTTACGAAACATTAAATCTGCAGCTTATCTGAGAGAAGAGGATAATGCCAATCTTTGGATTCCAGTTGAGTTTTTTATGAGTTTATTTGGCTCTTTTCTGCCAAATCCTTTTGATTATTGGATACGCCCATGTTCAGTTTTTACTTACATTAACTTGCATGAAAATGTTTTAGCTCGGCATGTCGCTTGTTTTAAAATAAGTTGATAGAGCACAAATGGCCTTAAACCTTAATAATAATTATCAATTATCAACGCATCGTGTCATCCAAAGAAAGCAACCGTGATACGTCATGTTATGAATCGCAGAATCACGCATGCGGTGGAAGCCGTCTGACAAAATGCGACTTATGTTTACTTATGACAACAACCGACTCTGTTAGGGTCTGCTGAAACGGAACTCTTCTCAGATCTACTGTGACAGTTGTGGCTGAAGAATTCGAAATACATACGCGTTGTTCTGTGAAGTTAGTAACCACGTATAGCCTTACAATAATATCAATACTATTGTTATTTGTATTTTCCCAAATTGAAAATCAATAATTGCAGAAGTGTACGTTTAGGTTGTTACAACCAGCATTCTTGATAATTTGAAAATTTGTTTGCCGGAATGAAAGTTATATAAATCCGAAAGAGTGGTTTTCAAAATTCCTTATCGTGACGTGTCAAGTGAAGTTTTTTCGTGAAAGCGAGAATCAATCATACTTGTTAATGCTGCAAAGATGTTGGACAGTGACAGTGATGATTAAACGTGCACAGCTGGTCCTAGCAGAGCATGCTTACCCTAACGTATCACTTGATTATAAAGAAGCTGACCGAGTAATTTCGTCTTCTTTCTTCTGCTGTCTTCACCCATCGTTTTTCGTCTTCTGCTCTCGTCACGAGACAATAATAAGATTAGTTGCCCTACGAGAAGTATTAATTGTCCAATATAATTTCTTTAGAAAATTATTCTTTGGTACTTGAAAATGTAATTCAGAGACTGCTGTGGCATAATGTCTTGGCGACTCTACACCTTGTTGTGCTATACTTCAGAGAAAACTAAGAATTTAAACGAAGATTTTTTTCCTGGATGCTTGAAACCCGATATTAATTCATTTCAACCTTTTCAGTATAAACACTTCTCAAGTAAGAGTATCGCTTATTATCGCTTACAAAACAATGCGAGTTTATGCTCGCAGAAAGATATTTTCAATGTGCGAGCTGTGTAGCATTTCTTTGCTTTGCAACGTCTTATGGAAAGTGACCTATCAACAGTGTGTGGGGGGAGGGAAAACTATAATATTCCCAATAAAAATTAAAAACAAATATTTTAGTTATAGGAAGGATCCAAAAAAGTTTGAACCTTTGCAATTTTCGAAAAATCAGGCTTTTCAACGAAAACTAGAACTGTACCATTCTCGTAAACGTCCTTCACACTATCCAACAACAAAGTTTAATAAAAAACGATGGAGACATTTTTTGAAAATTTGGAAAATGTCCCAGGGACTTCATGTAAAGTACACCCCCCCTACAGAAAATATATCGGTTTCAAATTACAGGGTCCGTAGCATAAGCCTGACTGATTGGAGAATATCAATTTTGGAGAAAATCAGCTGAACGGTTTATCCGCAAGCGTTGTTGACGGACGGACATTATCCAACCAATCTAACTGAATATGAAGGTGAAGAGCAAAAGGGAGGAAAATAATTAAAATATCCAAAATTCATTGTGGAAAATATACGTCGCCTCTTTCAATTGCCAGTGTCACTACGTACGGTATAGTGGAAGATTCTTTACATCACAAGATATAAAACACAAACTTCAAAGGCCAGATAATCAAAACCAGCAACGTGTACCTGTGGTACACTAGGCCGCGGAACTTGGAATATTTTCGGTATTTCATTTGATGTGGACGTGACGTTTTTAAATAAAAAGTGATATAATAAAGAAGAAAGTAATGGGATTTGTAATCAGTACATAAGATGAAAATAATATAATTATTTATTATTTGACGAATACATTTCTGGTTATTATTTGTCCCGTACTGTTATTTCACGTTTAATTATCTAAATACGCGAATAAGGGGTGTGAAACGTTATTCCTTACATTTTCGACAACGCACTCTAGGTAAAAAAGAGTAAATATATATGAACTACAGTCAGATGCAGCAGAAAAACACTCGTGTAAGTACTTGCAAAAGAGAAATATACTGTTCAATCTCAGTTCTGATTTTACTGTATTGCATTGTATTTAAGCAATGTTTCGTTAAATAATAACAGATCTGATTAAATTCGATAACTGAAGTTACCAAAAGAAGCAAATTTTACACCCCGCACTTTTATGGTGCCTATGCGTGTATTGGGCGACGTGTGGTTACGAGGTTTACATATGACTCTGCGGAAGCAGGTGTCAGAACTCAGATTTGAAAATACCATGCAAAGAATTTATTATTATTATTATTATTATTATTATTATTATATTCGTGAGTTAGAAGTTTAATGTCACGAAATGTCGATTGGGCTCAAGGCGGGCTTATAATCGGCGGACCAGAGGCCTGGCGCCAAATTTATTTACATTGCACCATATGTGCTAACAACTAGTTATGCTGAAGGGGTGGACCGTTCGAAGACATGGGATTATACTTTGGGGAGCGCGATTCAATTGATAAGGTAAAGATTACCAGGGAATTCTCTCCAATATAGCGCATTTACCAAAAAGAGGGGGACGTCTATTCCCTTCCTCCTTAGAGATCTATTTCCCGTGACAATGGTGAAAGTTCTTTCCTTTTCCGTTTTCTGGGTGATACGTGAGATAATACGTTAATTCTATTTGAGAAAAGTATATTTTCTGGCAATGACCACATTGTTTTCAGGATTTGTGATTATATAGTTACAATTTTAAAGAATTGTAAATATTGTGTGAGCTGTTTCCTGGAACAAAAGCGTCTCATATGGCCAATTTTGCATTAATTGCCATATTTTCTAATTATTATTTTCTACTATCATCCCACGGTAACTTACTTTATTTTGTGCTGGCATCGTCTTTCGTATGTCGTGTCGACATATTGACAAACTTATTACAAGATGTATCATTTATATGTATATATAATATACACACACACACAGACACACACATTTCTTGAATGAGAATACGTTTAATCTTCATTTATATTTTGCCTGTTTTCAGGTTAGTTAGCTCATCGACTGGGAATGCAGAAGATGTTATAACGTTTAGTGTTCGATGTGGAACATCTGAAGGAGTGACCACCCATGACTTGAGGGTGGAGACACACAGAGACCTTGCTAATTGGGCACGAATGTTGGTTCAAGGATGTCATAACAATGTACAAGCTCAAAGAGAACTTACCTGTAGTAAGTATATGTATTTATCGTTTAATATTTGTGTACCTGAACCTATTAGCTATTATACAAGCTTCTTGATTAAAAATGTCAAATACAATGCTAAAATTTGTGTGCTTAACAAATCTACTGAATGATTATTTCATTCATGGATAATATTTAATATGCATCAAAATACTAAATTAGTCAATTTATTTTATGATTGTCAACTGTACTTGCAGGCGAATTGTTATGTAGGTAGTAGCAAATGCGGCTTTTCCCCCGAGCTTTTCCTTTCCCGCTGCAGCGTTGGGGATGTCACTTTTCTAATGTTGCGGTGCTCGCTCCACCATGTTTCTGTAGGGTTGTATACAGTTTAACACCTTTTAATAAACAAACGCATGAATGTTCATGCTAGCAGCAAAGTACGGATCTTTTCTGCCTTCTAAAAATAATTCCCTAATCAGGACATTCCAAAACTTTGTGTGCCCCAGCACATATATTGCATATCACTTCATATATCATATTTCCAAAATGACATCTTCACTTGTTTCTGAAATCCATACTTGCCTTTCTGCTCTGTATCGAGAGGTGTCGCAACTTTTATTCCATAGACGTGCTAGGACGCCTAAGAGTTTTTCACCACCCATTCTGAATGGTGGTAGGCAAAGAAGTGGAGAAGGAGATACCTGCTGGTGAAAGTGGAGAATCCTCCCAGTTGTCTTCATCGCTGCTACTGTCGCATTTTGAAGATTCCTTAAATATAATTCTTTCTTGCTCACAACCAAGTGTTTTATGTGTACTACACATTAAGTATACAAAAAAAAGGTTTTTGTTATAAATTATAACCTCTATTCAGCAGCGTATCGGTATGCAATGCTGATCACGATTCAAGATTTGTGGAAATAACTCCAGGAACGCTCGACATATTGGAATGTTCGAAGCATTTTTAGCATATCGTCGTTGATGATAGAGAACCTTCTTAGACATTCTACACTTTCTAAATTAAAGAAAGTTAAATATGTATTTATTGTAATATTTCCCATGTGACTCTCACAACATACCTGATATTCTCTCAAAATTGTAAAGGTCACATAAGTTTTTTAATTTTATATTTTAAGACTACAATTTCTAGTTTCCTTTGGTAATTTTCTTGTCAAACTAAAGACCAAGCAGATTCTGAATAATTGATATCAAAATGTAAAAATTGCCAATTCCGCCACATAGAAGGTTGACCATCATCAACGTCGATGTCTTCAGTGTGAACTGGTGTGTTGCTGTAGATAGCTGCATACGATAAATGAATTTCCGACAGAATGTCGAAATGCTGTGACACCGTGTAGGATTGATTGGGCACTCAGATGTGTCTACTGGAAGCAGTGCACCGGCTCCATGAAATGAAATATCATATGTGGCTACTCGAACCCAAGACGGTAGTCCACATTGAAGATATGTTAAAAACAATTCGAGCATTTCAATTTTGTTAATTTTCTGTAAGGTTTCTGTTCGTCTTCAGCGTTCATTATTACGCCACTGCATAAAGTGGTTATAATTAATAACAAAAATGCATTTTTTAAACAGTCTTTTTCGCAACACGTCTCTTAACCCTTTGGCACTGAGGGTATCGGGGCTATTCTCCATTAGTTTTTTGTCTCGTCTCGTCACGTCTCAGTCAGTGTCTTTTATCCCTTCGGGCAGCGGCGCGGCGCCGTTAGTAACCGGGGGTTCTCACACGGTCACCCGTCCAGGAATCGGTGATGTCTGGAGGTGCTTAACTTCCATAACTTCATGGAGCGTAATAAAGCAATTTGACTACTAAAGTTAGTATTTTAAATATATTTAATGAATTGAATGAATAAAATAAAATAAAAAAAAACATTCTAACGTACTCTTGTGCGGCAAGCGATATTTTCTTCACTCGACAGCTTCACCGGAAACGCAGAGAAACGGCGCAACGCTCATCCAGCCCCGTTGGCAGACACCCCGCCGGTGTCTGCTGTAACGCAGCAGTCTGTTTGAATTTCGCCGGACGTAACATTTAAAATTGATTTTCCGAAACAAGTTTTTTTATCGTAAAACTGGATTTGCCATCCTTCATGAAATTTAACAAAATCCGGAGTATTTCTTTGTAGCGTGAGCTTCCTGGCGCTTCGTAAACTATACTATAGTATTGCAGTTTTCGTGAAGACGTTTCGATTTTATTAAAATATTTAATTTATTGTAGTGTTTAACAGGAGTACTTTATTTCTTGTTCTTGGGTGGTATGGATACTACTCTTTGGAAAACCATTTTCGGCGGTTTTGTGTAGCAGAATTTTCCTGCAACAGGTCACTAGTTCATACTATTCTGACCTGATTTATGAGTGGATACTACTACTAGACGATTGAGGATTCGAGAAAAAAATTCCTTGCGAGAAACGTAATCCAAAATGCGAGCAAATGTTTTTTTTGATAAGGACCAATTTATAATTTTATTGTTGAAGATACAATTCTGTCAAACTGTGGAGCCATGATTAATTTTAAGTGGTTAGCAACATTAATCGTGACTTTATCTGTTAACACACGCATTTATATGCACCGCACTTACACTTGTCAAGAGACTATTCGGGGGCTTAGAGCTTGTTTCGGCTGGGGCGGTGGGGGAAAACACAACTAGTTGACGTGAAGGTCGGCACTGGATTTCGCCATCCACCTGGGGAAGATCACCGCTACCTCCCACGATAAAAATATGACTACACGTACGAAGCTAATGACTTTAGCAGTTGGCGCAGCAGACTGCCTGGAAGATGCCATGCTGCCTTCTGATAATGAGTTTGGAAGTTCCAACTGTAATGACTTGACTCAGACGGCATGAAATGCCCACACCGACCAGACATTGCAGGAGGGAGAATGGTTATGGTCGCACACATCAGCTGCACCGTTGCCACCAGCACATCTATTAGCACTACATATGTGGTTGCTCACAAGATAACACCATCATCAATTTGATTTTAATAAATGCGCTTTAGTTTGAAAGAAGTTGAAGTTTTCCCCGTATTGATAGAGCAATACAATGTCTCCACGTGAAGAACATGGCTCATCATGAAGAACAGTAAGCACACGATGTCTTGCATATCAAGTAAGAAATAATCACCAGACTCAGCATTATATCGTCTGTAGTGCTAAACGTTTCGAAAACCCCACATAATTGGATCACAGGAATCGCGGCGCATTGAAATAAACTAGTGGTGTTACACAATGGCACAGATTTTCCCATATTAATTTTCTATTTCCTTTGGTCACGGCTAGCTGTACGTACTTGCCACAAACCCTTGCCGGCTGCCATCTATCGCCGCCCAAATTACATTTTTTGAAAATTTATTAATTTTTCGTTTTCCTAATAGAACGAAAATATTATTATAAGAATATAACCTCGCAGTAAAACTTCGTCCTAAATGGCATTGTTCTTTTAAAAACATTGGAGCCGTTTTTAAGAAAATGGTGTTTAATTGTAAATTCGAAATTTGAAGCTTTTTCATAGAACATTGTGTTTTCGTAAAACTTTATTAGAAGTCAATTCAAGCACTATAATTCACAAAAACTGGAGTGTTCACAAATTGTTGGAAATGTGTGTATTAACGGCGTGACTGATCTTTCAAAACAAATATGGAAGGTATATTGTGTTGTAATTTTTGAAAACACAAAAAATATATCCAGAAATTACTTTTACGTCATATTAAAAAGTGCAATTAGCACTATCCGTTCGAAAAGTGTAAAGAAACAATTTGAAGCAGTTGGCATTAAAGCTTTTGGCAGCAAATGGCATTAAAGCTTTTCTGAAAATGTGGAATTTTGAGCTAGTTTTCACAAAAACCGCTTGAGTTTTCGAGAAATATTATATAACATTATTTAAAGCGCATGTTCTAATAAGTATAATAATATGGACAAATTGCTGCTATTTAACGACCAAAAAATAGTGAACGCGACAAAAAATAGTTTTGAAAAAATAAAACAAAAGAAAAGAGCAATATGGCAAATGTCATCTTACAGAGTGCATTTAGCTCTATCCCTACCAAAAGTTTAAAGAAAAATTTTGGAGCCGTTTTTGAGAAAATATTCGTTTTTTTTTAATTGCGAATATTGCGCGAACACTAATATTTTCAAAAAAATTTACGTGACGTGAAAGATCTCACTATGGAGAAGAAATTTTATTTGAAGGAAAAATCTCCATCTTCAATTTTGTAGTTGTATGAAGACGCCCAAAAATTTCAAAATTTTCGCAAATTCAGAGTTACGGCCCTGAAAATTGGACCTACGTTATAAGTGATTTTTACTCTATTCTTGCAAGAAATTTAAAGAAAAAATTTGAAGTTTTTTTTTTGAGAAAGTTTTGAAAATGTCCGGGGGCTTCATGTAAAGTACTCCCAATTTAGAAGCGGTGGAGTCAGGTCGTTGTGGAGCCAGATCGACCGGCAAATATCTACTTTGGAAAAAAATTTCGTATGGGGTAGGCGCTATGGTGTTTGGTGTTCACAGACGGTCGGACGTTTTGAAAAAAAGAAAAAAAAATAAGAAAAAACACTTTTTCGGTATGAGAGGGCTCCAAAATGTGTATTTCCGTTGAAACCTCGAAATAGATTTTCCCTAGCGTAACTTATACTACGAATATTACTCCGTATATAAGTATGTATGTGTATAAACGAGGAAGGATGCTCATACTGCCATTCGCTAGTTTACACGCTACGTTTAGCCACGCTCTTTCTCTGCCGTCTGCCCGCGAGAGGCGACGGTTGTAATAACAAGGTTTTTGCCGTGAAGATATTACTCTTTACCGGCGTCAAAGTTGTATGGGGGAAAGATGGATAACTTCGCTTTATCCAACATCCTATGTTTGCCCGAATCATTGTAGACGCACCAGTAGTCATTACATGTACTCCTTAGAAAACTGGTTGCAAATTGGAGTAGATATTTTATTTAACCGACACCCAGCTTTCTTAGTTTTAGGGGATAACAAAACAATCAATAACAATAAATAATAATTAATAGGTTCATATT